CGTTGTTTACATCAATGTGTTTATACATTTCCTCTAATTAATATTCACTAATTAAAAATTTGTTGATATCACTGTTTAAGAATACACATCCAAGACTGAAATACAACCAAGTAGAAATCTACTCAAGTATGTTACCCTGTTCTGTTGACACAGGCTTATTACTTTTTGAGGATTTCTTTTCTAGTATAAAAATTTCTAGATTAATTGAGAATTTTTCTTGCACCAACCATGGAATCAACATAATCTCTAAGTGATTTTTTTTAAGAGTAAAGAGGGGAATACAAATGTCTGCTTCCTGATTCTTTTTTTTAAGTTCTAAATTTTATTGATCTTAATTTATCAACCCTTTCCTTAATTTTAATTTTCCCCAAGAGATTATTTTTTATTAGTTCAAATTAGAAACAAGGCTTCTTCACATGTCAGTCCCTTCTCCCTCTCCCTCCCCTCTTCTTAACCCCCACCTCATCCCTCCTCTGTTCTCCAGGGAGGGTGAGGCCCTTCATGGGGGTTCCCCAAAGTCTGTCATATCATCCTGGGCAGGGCCTAGGCCCTCCCCCATGCTTCCTGGTTCTTTAACATCATCATAAATAAAAGGACTGTGCCTCCTTACTTAGAAAATACAAACACAAGTCTGTAAAGTTATTCACACTCATACACATAATCACCTTCTCACTACTGTGATTTTCATCCATTGTCTATATAAAGGTAAAAGTTTTCTCTGAGAGTTTCATTGTAAACCTGAGCCAAGGCATCTAATCTGGTCCTCCACATTCCCTTTTCTTTAACTGGTAGTCACTTTACCATTCCACACTTTCCAGTGTGTCAGGGTTGAGTTGTTCTACATTTCTGCCAATGTTCTATATTGACTTACTATCTTCATATCAATCTTTTAAAGAACAGTATGTTATGTGATTTAACTGGTATTTCTCTATGATAATTTAAATGGTCTGGCTTTATGAAATGTCTGTTCTTGCTTAATTTTTCTCTTTTTAAAATATTTTTATATAATTAAGAAATTATCTTATTTTACATGTCAACCCCAGTTCCCTCTCCCTCCCATCATTTCATGCCCCCCACCAGCCTTCCCCATCCTACCACCATCTACTCTCCAGGTAAGGTGAGGCCTTCCATGGGGCATCATCAAAATCAGTCACATCATTTAGGGGAGGGCCTAGGCCCTGTGTATCTAGGCTAAGAGAGTATCCCTCCATGGGGAATGGGTTTCCAAAGTCCACTAGGGATTGTCCACTAGGGATAAATAGTGGCTCCACTGCCAGAGGTTCCATAGACTGCCCAGGCCTCCCAATGGACACCCACATTGAATAACTTGGTTCAATCCTATGCTGGTTCTATAGCTGTCAGACTGGGGTCCATGAGCTTACACTTGGTCAGGTCAGCTGTTTCTGGGAGTTTCTCCAGCATGGTCTTGACCCTTTTGCTCATCCCTCCTCCCTCTCTACAATTGGATTCCAGGAGTTTGGCTCAGTGCTTAGCTGTGGATATCTGCTTCTGCTTCCATCAGCTACTGGATGAAGGCTCTAGGATGGCATTTAAAGTAGTCATCAATCTCATTATAGGGGAAGGGCATTTAAGGTAGCCTCACCACTACTGGTTAGACTCTTAGTTGGGAGCTATTTGTGTGTCAGTCTTTTGTGTAGTTTATAAAGCATTTTTGTCAGATATATATTATAAACACAAGACAATGAAGAGTTAAGAGCCATGGAATCAAGGAAATCCAAATTGTGTCCATGATGACTCACCATGATAAATCTTATTGAAGTGATTGAAACACTAAGAAAATTGGAATGAGATAGCAAATTTTCCATAGTTAAATTTATTCATCTTTTTATTCTGTTTTTTTCATTTTATTGTATTTAAATAACTATTTGTGAAATTATAGTAAAAATTATAGTTGAGTAACTACACATACTTATGTACAAAATGAATCTTTAGATATATTTGGTTCATTTGGAATACCCACAGAATTCAGTGAAACAGTAGCTCACTTAAGGGCATTGAATATTGAAAAGAAGTTATATGTACATATCTATAGAAAATCTGATTTTTAACAAAATTTTTCTCTCCTGTTAGAGTATCTTTTTATAATACCCATGACCATAATAGTGGTACTTGCTATATTACACCTGCATAATTCATTCATCACACATATACTTACATAATCATCAAAGGAAAAAAATGTAACAAGATTTTAAAGAGTAATCCAAATCTAGATAGACAGGATTTTTTTAAAAAAAATCTACATTGACAGTTTTATTCCAGCTCTAGTGATTTTGAACAAGTGTACTAACATAACTTGCACAATTAAAGGACAATATAACTTTGAAAAATGTCTGACGATTCTGATGGAGCAAGATGCTCATGAAAGTTAGCCTCCTGATTTCCCATGCTATTGGCCTGATGTTTTTATTTTATAAAAAAAGAAAAGAAAGAAACAAAAAGAAAAACAACACACCTCACAGCCTAGAAGAAGAAATTCTTGTAAGAGGAAAGTTGGTTTTAAAAGTATATGTAATATAATGTACTTTAGAATGGTGGCTTTCCTAAAGTAAATTGTAAGAGAATGAGGATTGGGTTTAGAGGAAAAGGAAGTCTATTTTAAGCAGGAATAAGTAAGCCTTTTGTTTGAAGTATTAATCTTTATAGCATGTAGGGTTACTATTTTAACAACAATATATAATTTCTAGATAACATGTAAATGAAAATGCATCTAAACTGTAAAACTGTCATTGAATTATGCTGCATAATCTCTTACTGACTGGAGAAATCAAACTCTAAAAACATGCTTGAATGTGCTAATTGCTTTCATTTTGTGTCCACAGAAAGAATTGATATAGTCTTATTAGAAATAGCATCCATAGTTTATATCTATTTTCCTAGCTGAACTCATATTGAAAATAAATGATATTGAACAGTAATATTGGTAAGGATGCTTTTTCCTCTTTTTCTCATTATTCCCATCATCACTGTACTGGCTTGTAATAAAATTCAAGCTTTACAAACTACATTGTCCTTATCCACAGCCTTCCAAATTAATCCTTTTCAATTTCAACAATACCCATGCAGGCAACATATTTCACTAATCATGGTGTTTAACTTTGTCAGTGAGTCAATTTCAGCAGTAAAAGGAAGATTTAATTTTCAATGAAGAATCCCCATGCAGTTGCTAATATACTAGCAAGATATGTATCTGCCTCAAATTCTCCACTTTCATTTTGTTTTGTTTTTAACTCTGGAAAGTTTCCTGAAGCTCACAGCACATTAAGAAGAATGACTATAATGTAAGGGGAAATTATAGCAAGCTTCTATATTTTGCAAGGTTTAATAGGGCATTCTATGATAATGATGATACTATTGTACTCACTGAAGGCAAGTTCAAATGTAGTTATATTTTTGATAGATTGAAATAAATTGACAGAGACAGCAAAAACAAAAAAAGTATGTGTGGTGTGTTCCTTCCTCTTCCTTCTCTACTTTCTCCCTCTCTCCATACTTTCATCCTCCCTTCCTTTTCTTTTGGACGAAAGAATAAATCAACTTATTTTAACCTTTACTTCTGAGCAAACAATTATTTATAAAATGTTGCACTCATTTTTCTAAGTAATGTATCTTTTATACATTTAAAACCAAACTATAAAATAATATTAACTGTCTCATAATGTACAAAGTTATTGATTCCTTTAAATTTGGTTGACTTTATTTTTTTCCCATTTGAGACTGAGCATGCACATTAAAAAGAAATATTCTTCCCATTATATCAAGGAATTGAAAATTCATTCACACACCAGTCAAGCTTGCAGCCTGTTGTCTGATGATCTACAAGTTAACAACAGATTTTGAATTTGAAAATATTGTCAGAATAATATTTGTATACAAATTATTATGTGAAATTCTAATGTAAGTGTACACAAATAAAATTTTAGTGGAAAATAAACTACTAATATATTTACATGTTGTCTATGTCTGCTACTACAGCAGATAAAAATAAAAGTTGCCGAGCCCTTAAAACACAAGGATTTTTGTCTTTTTGTGGCTATTGATGTTGCTTTCATGTATATGTATTCTAAAATTTTTATCTGTGTGCACCTCTGTCAACATGTCTAAGCCTGGTGCCCACAGAGGTCAGAAAATCTATTGAATTCCCTACAACTCATGCTATAGACAGTCAATAGCCACCAGGCTACTGGGAATCAAAACCAAGTTATCTGGAAGAGCAGCAAGCACTCTCAACTTACAACTCTTTTCTCCAGCTTCATAAATCAGTTTTTTTTAATTCTCATATGTGTTATATATTTTTATGAGTGGGTTACCTTGCATATGTGTGTGTACATTTTCATGTGTGAGCATACATTATATAGTTGTTTGTTTATGTCAGTATGTAGAGGCAGGGGACATGTTGAGTGACTTCCACAGTTGTTATTCTCCCAATTTTTATTCAAATTTACTGTTACAATATAATTTCTGTTATAAAAACATATTTAATTTACATACAGATATAATATACTAAAATTATAAGTCTATTTAATAACACTAACAAAATCTATTCTCTGGAACATTGCATAATTTTCTTTTTTAATTAATTTATTTTCCTCTTTCATATATTACATCCTGGGTACAGTTTCCTATACTTCACCTCCTAATTGTTCTTTCCTCACACTTCCCTCTTCCAAAGATTCCCTTCTCTATTTCCCTTTCATGCACAATTTCTTAATGACTACTTACACCTGTGCACATTATAAAGGACACAAAGGTCTCTCAACTTACAACAGTTACACAAAGTCTCTATCAGCCTTCCAATGACAAAATTAAATATAAATGGGTACTTTTTGAGAAATCACAAAATGAAGAAAATGTGGCTCCTAGATGTAATTACGCCTTTTTGAAATTTTCAAAATGCAGCATAATTTGTCTCAAATTTTTCTATGAAGAACAATTCTTTTTTCCCAAATTCATTTGTTGTATTTGAAAATTTCTTATATAAATCTAAAATTTTATGATTTCATCTTTTATGTCTATCATATATATATATATATATACATATATATATATATATATAATTTTATATAAATATATAACATACAGAGTCAAGTTAGTATGGCCTTTATTTGCATGCATTTAGGCAGGACCCTGTAGGATAAGGGTCTTGATCCCCTCCCAAAATGAGATAGAGGGGAGATTAAAATCTAGTTCTGCATCTTCAGCTGTTGATTTTCTGTAGCACTTCATATATGGATAGAGTGGTGGTTTGAAAGAAAACAGCACACAAAGGGAGTGGCACTATTTGGAAGTGTGGCTTTGATGGAGTAGGTATGGTCTTGTTGGAGAAAGTGTGTCACTGAGGGGGTGGGTTTTGTTGTCTCTTTTGTTCAAGCTTCTCTTGATGTGACACAGAGACTACTTCCTGTTGCTTCAGATGAAGAAGTAGCCAGCACTGTGTGTGCTAGCACACTTCCATATTTCCTGCCATGATCATAATGAACTGAATCTCTGAAACTGTAAGCAGCCAGCTCAACTGAATGTTTTTCTTAATAAGAGTTGCCATGGTTATGGTGTTTCTTCACAGCAATAAAATCCCGAAGACATGTAGAGTCTTATGAAGTTTTTCTCCATCCACATTAGTACATTCATTTGCCATCTCAATTTTCTGAGACAGACTCTCTCACTGAACCTGGAATTCACTGAATCTATGAAAGGGGTCTTTTATATCCACCTCTTCAGTGTTAGATTATAGGCAAACTGCCATGGTGACTTTTTATGTTGATAATGTGTGCTAAACTCAGGTCCTCATGTTTGACAGTTAGTATTTTATTAAGTGAGATATTTCTCTAGACCCTCAGTTTGTAAACCATTTGCTTTCTGACCTTTTACAGAAATTCTTTACTAATTCTTTTCTTCTATGAATATCCTCTGTGAACGTCATATGATTTTATAAGGTATTACTAGTTATAAACTTTGCTGTAAAGTCTGGTAGGAAATCCTAGACTCAGGAGGACAAGCCTGCCATTTTATTACTAATACCAATATATGTTCTGAGTAGAAATGTCAGTTCAGCTGAAATAGAAACATGCTAACAACATGAATGCTTTGGATTTAATGATCTACACTCTGCACATCCCAGCTGTAGTATTTTGAGTAAATTATTTAACCCATAATTTGTCACATACATGAATCTAGATAACATTACCAATTACAACATTCTTGTATTGAGAATCAGAGACCTGTATAATTAGAAAGACCTCGATCTATAGACTCAAGTTCAAACATTCTGAATTTCATATAATAAGTAATTAATTTTACCACATTCTCCTATGCAAATTGGAGTAATACAACCAACTATATGACATAAGTATTAAGAATTAAATATTAACATATGCAAATTGTGTGGTTTCCTCTGAAGCATTTGACAAATTTACATAAATTTTCATAAAAAGTCCAAACATATAAAAGTCCTCTGTAATACTTAATCAATCAAAAAGATAAGTGAAGTCCCAAACTTTTGTAAGAACACTTCAAAACATGACTTTTTTCTAGAACCTATCTAGGTCATTGTAGATGCATTGATCAAGATTATGTCATTCTGGAATAGAAAGGACTCCTTATCCAATAGTTTATCCAGTATAACTGGTGTTCATATAAGATAAACATGTGAAGACACGGGCACAGGAAAAAAATTTGATCATGAAGGACTAGATTAGAGAAGTGTGTCTTTCACTTATATCTGGAATGCCAGAGAAAGCTCATAAGCCACTAGAAGCTAGCATACAGATAAATAAAATTTCACTACCATTTCTAAAGAAGTATGATTGTACATTTCTCAACTGTACTGATGTTAGACTTATATTCCTACAGTTTTAACGTTCCCAGTAGATGTCACCTTTAATGGCATCTCTGAAAACCCTTAGTACTTGTCTCTACCATTCTTGACTGTGAGAAGCTTGATTGACAGACAATGTCAAAGGGATAGACAATGTCATAGGTAAGTACTGATGATTGCAATGATTGGAAACCAGTCCCATATAAAAGCTCTTTATCAAGTATTTGTGTAGCTTTTGGTATGCAGCCTAATGAACTGTGTAGGGAAGAAGACAACCATGTCATAGCTTTATTTCAGATGTCTATATTTCAAGTAGTTTAGTCTTAATGCACCAAATATTAAGTGGTTTGTATATAACAAACAATGAAGCTAAAAAAATTATCTTCTACAATGCTCTCAAAAATTTCACTATAAAGAAATACAAACCCACTATAATATACTTTAGTCACTGAATTAGCAAAGCAAATAATTTGCTTTAACTTGAAAAGCCTTTCAAACTGTATAATCTGCTAGCAGTTTTGACTGTAATATTAATGACAAATAATTATTTCTAAAGCACCACTGATGCCTTGTCTTAGAATCTAGATTATCTTACCCACTGACAGGTGAGAATGTTGAGAAGATCATTACAGAAAAGATAGTGTGGGGATTTAAAACAAAATGACCCCCAAAGGGTGGTGCATTATTAAGAGGTGTGACCTTGTTGGAGTAGGAGTGATTTTGTTGAAGGAAGTGTGTCACTATGGAGATGGGCTTTGGGGTCACATATATGTTCAAGCCACTCCTAGTAAAAGAAACTACTTCCTTATGCCTGCAAGTCAAGATGTAGGAATCTGAGTTCCGTCTTAACCACCATGTCAGCCCATTTGCTACTATGTGGCACCATGATGATAACAGAATAAACCTCTGAACTCTAAGCCAGACCCAATTAAATTTTTCCCTTTAAAAGTGTTGCCACAGTCAAGGTGTCTATTCACAGCAATAGAAACCCTAACTCAGATGAGTTCTTTCATAAAATTTATAGAAAGTGCTACTTACTGAAAATATGTATTATTCCTTTTCATATTTGCTTACAGAAATATTTTCAGCTTTCTTCTAGAAAACTATTTTTGGTGGACAAAAAAGGATGGAATTTTTTCACCCAAATGTTTGTTCCAACTTGTCTTGAAAGACATTTTTGAAATCAAATTTGGGATTTGGAGCCTACATTTCTATTCTCATTTTCCATGAACAATATACTAATTTATATTAATGAAAATAAAAAGTCAATTCTTAGGGTAAGCTTCATTAAAAAATTCTTGTACCAGCCAGGTGGTAGTGCATGTCTTTTATCCCCACTGCTCTGGAGGCAGAGGCAAGAGGAACTCTTGTGAGATCAAGGCCAGTCTTGTCTACAGAGGGAGTACCAGGACAATCAGGAATACACCTAGAAAAGCCCTGTCTTGAAAAAACAATAGTAGCCACAAAAAAGTTTTTACTCACCTTAAAATAATGTAACAGTGAGTTTTCTAAATGTTTATAGTATTTGCTGCAAAAAAATTACCAGAATGCTTTTATTCTAAAAATTAGTAATTAATTTCTTCTGAGTAAAAAGATAAGCAATTAAACAAAATAGTTCTATTTATGAACAAATATGGCAACTAGGCTGCATTATCGCACACATGCATATTGTCATGTGTGGTGATATATTATTTATGATTTATTAAATCTTGCCTGAGGATTCAGAAAACAAAGTCAGCAACAAACCATAGAATCCAGGCACATACCTTTAATCCAAGCAGTCAGCTAGGAGGTAATGGTATACACTTTTAATACTAGGACTCAGGATTAAGAAGTAGACTGATCTCTCTGAGTTCAAAGTCACCCAGATCTACACAAGACTGATCCAGTCCTAAAGGGAATCATCTCACACAAAGATGGTCTCAGCATCTGCGATTACATGCCTTTAATTCCAGGATTAGGGAGGTATATAAGACAGGAGCAAGGTCTCAGTATCAAGCATTCATTCTCCAGCTACATGGAGGCTAGGAAAACAATCAGTCTCGGGATTCTCCAGCCACACTGAGAAGAGCGAACAGTCTGAAATTTGGTGAAACCTAGATTCACTTTCAGTCTGAGGTACTGATAAGAGGTAGTAGCCCTGCCACTTTGATTTTCTGATAATTAGCTTGAAGTTTGAACCCCAATATCAGTCTCTTGGTCTTTTATTTTTTGAGTAACAGTCATGTCTTGATATTAATTTTTCTGCTGAAATAATATTGCAGAAGAAAAAATCAACCAAAAAAATAGCATTTATTGATTTAGTACAAACTTGTCATTCTTTATTTAGACTTTTCTAATAGAATGCTCCATTATTTATCAATGAATTACACAATATATAAATTGTAAGGGAGTAAGCACTTTGTATTTTAATTAATTTATGTCTGTATAGATTACAGTTTGGAACAATTCAAATTTCAACCACATACTATTATTACAAACTCCCATATATTACTTTTTTTTCTAGAGCCAATGAGTTAGTTTTTAAGCAGATACTATAAGTGGCTAGGCTCCTATATCTTAGCCCCAACCAAGGAAAACATATTTTTAAAGCAGTTATTAAGTGTACTCTGGAATTTACTGATCACATTTTATAAAATCTTACACCTGTATACGTATATGCACACAAAATGCTCCTAAGACTAATGCCTGTAGGAAAGAAATTAAAATTGCATCCTGAGAAGCATTTAAATTACACTTTGTAACATTTGCTTAAAGAAACATTTTCTTGAAAACTTTGTAGATATTTTCATAATCTTTCCTTCAAATATCAGTTTCTATTTATATTGTTTCCCTTGGAAACTTGTTTAGTTCTAAGAACAAAAAGGTGTTGAAGATTCTGTAACTTTAATTGAAACTTAGAAAAGAAAACGAAAGGTGTCCAGGGGCTAGATTTTTAGAGCCCTCAAAAGCACATGAGTTGTTTCTTGTAACATGAGGTTGAAGGCAAAAAATGACAGGAAGAAGATATTCAAGAGTGTTCTTTTCTTATTTTCATCCCATTCCATGCTGTTGGGGCACATAGTTCTTCTCAAGAAATATGTGTTCATGACAGTTGGCTCCTTGAATGATTTTCTTTTAAATGCATAGTCTTTTAAATGCATAGTAATTTTATTACTTTAGACCTCAAGATATATACACTTATATGTAACATATATTGTGAGGAGCCGCACTCACATTCGCCATTACAAGATGGCGCTGACATCCGCTGCCGGATCAAGTAAACAACGTTGGTGCACATGTGCCAAGTGTTTTTCCACTTGCCTAATCTTGCCTCTCCCATGGCATCATAGGGTGATGAGTCCTCCACCTATCCCAGCTGTACACGCACTGCTCGGAGCTTATAAGCCTTTATAAGGGGACGGGATTCTTGGCTTGGGGTCTCCCTAATAAGAAGCTGATCATCTGTCTCTCAAGATGCATTAAAGCTTTACTGCAGAAGGATCCGAGTGTCCTGTGTCGTTCTTGCTGGCGAGACGATAGCGCGGGACAATATATGAATGAATATACATATATTATATACACATATAAATATATAAGATATGTATATGTGAATATATATGTCGTTTCCTTAAAATTATAATGCTATTTCATGTATATGTTTATTTCCTCAATTTATTTTACTAGAGACAACTACCAATCACATTAACACCAAAATAACCATTTTAGTTTTTGAAAGAGAAAGGAAAGAGTACACCAACCAAAACTCCTCCCTGACTGTGTTGTCTATAATCCACATTAATGACCAACTCTCTAATTGGTTTTAAGACTTGCTAAGTAAGAGTGAAAACTTGAAAACAACTTCTCCACAGTCTAAGACAAGCTGCACAAAACTAGCTCATTGTTACCTCACAGTAACTTTAAATTAGACAAAAATTTTCTGTAAATTGATCATAAATTTAAAACTTTATGGATATGCACAAGGTCAAAGTTTCAAATGTCTATTTGTATTATTAATACAAAGTAACCTAAAAATCAGCCAATTCTTCACTTGCCAAGTCTTGGTGATAAAGACCTATGTCTCCAAGCTTGTCCCACAGGTCACTGTGCCCCAGCTTCTGGTCACAGTCTTTCATCTGGAACCTTGAGGCTGTCATGGTAAATGGCTTGGCTCCTTTTTGTTTTCCCAAGAAATGCACTATGACCAATGAGATATAACTCTTGTAATTTTTTCTTATTTCCTCAACCTCCTATAAAAATTTATTTAACCTTGGTGAACAGAGAAGCAAGAATTGGAACAGAGAATTGAAACAAAGGAGAACTAGAAAGAATTAAAACTTAGAAGAAAATTAGAAGACAGAAAAGTGGACAGAAAAATAAAGAACATAACCCAAACAGCATATGTCTGAATTTATTTCATATCACTCAGAAAAACCTTAAGTTCAGTTTTGCTACACTGTGGAACTCTTCTTTAAATGCTGGGAGCAGTCTTGAGAGCTGGTCTTTCAGTCTACCAATAGTCATAGTTATTGGAGGAGAATTTACAACTACTAATTTGCTAAAGCAGCGTAAGTTCTAACAATCATCTATGGCATTTTTCCTCATACTCACAGATAAGTATAGTTTTCACTCCTTGTCAAGGAAATTTCTCTTTGTAACAGATTGAAACCCCCACAGAAGATCATAACCAAAAAAGTTGCAGAGTTGTGTAGCCTAGACCCAATAGACATATTTATAATACAACGACTACACATAAGACTCACAGAACAATGCAGAATAGAAGGCAGAAAGATTGTAAGAGCCAGAAGATCAAGTACTTCCCCATTAAATTGTGTCTTTTAGCAGTATCAGAAGATATAACCACAAAGTCAAACCAACATGTCTGGCCAATTGTGTGCTAAGCAAGGAGGACACCAATGAATAGGCCAAAATAGATGGGAACACTCCCAGGAGGCATTATCCTTACACAAAGAAGTTAGGCAACTGAGAAAAACTAAGAGCTGGAGAAGCAGGTTTCCCCAGGGAAAAGTGTATCAATTGGTTGTCCAAAGGCAAATGGACATCCCTGAGAACATACATAGAAATATATAGAGAGAAGTAACATTATACAGCAGAACAGATAATATTAACTAATTATATATAATATTTAGTATATTTATAATTATGTTATATATATTATACATATATTATGTATATATGTACACATTCATATATACAAATAGATATACAATAGATAGTGTGTGTGTGTGTGTGTGTGTGTGTGTGTGTGTGTGTGTGCAATTTCAAATAAAAATAGAGGCCATGGATTTTAAGGAGAGTGAGGGTGGAGAGAGGTATATGGGAAGGTTTGGAGGGAGGAAATGGAAGGAAGAAATGTAATTATGTTATAATCTCAAAATTTTAAAAATTGTATTTTAAAATAAATTTTATATTTATATTAGTTCTTTGAAAACTGTACAATGTGTTTTGATCATATTCACACCACAACACTTCTCAGATCCACTCCTCCTTTCTGATCTACCTAACTTTGAGTTTTGGTTCCCATCTAAAAACTATTGATGAAGTTTCATCGAAAAATAATATACCTAATTGAAAAGTATAAAGGCGGCAGATGTCTCAGTGGTTAATAGCACAACTGCTCTTCTTGAGGACCCAAGTTCAATGCCCAGCACCCACATGGCAGCTCAAAACTGTCTGTAACTCCAGCTCCAGGGGACCCAATACTCATGGAAAATATCAACTCACTTAAAATAAAAATAAATAGATGTTAAAAAAGAAAAGTATAAGGGAGAAAATAAAACTATGTTAAATACTTTCATATGGAAACCAGCACTTTTGGAAGGATGGTAACTTTTTTGTCATATTTTCATAGTAATATATTCAGGACCCATGCTTTTTGTTTTTTTTTCTTTTTATATCAGCAAGAAAATTATTTTGCATGTCAATACCAGGTCCCTCTCCCTCCCTTCCTCCCCTGTCCCCCCCAATAATGCCCTACCCATCCCTTTCTGCTCCCCAGGAAAGGTGATGCCATGCATAGGGAGTCTTCAAAGTCTGTCATATTTTGGGGGGATAGGGCCTAGGCCAATCCCCTTGTGTCTAGGCTCAGGGAGTATCCCTCCATGTGGGATGGGCTCCTAAAACCGATTCCTATGGTGGCAATAAGTACTGATCCACTACAAGAGGCCCAATAAATATTCAAGGTATCCTCTCTGACACCCACATTCAGGAGTTCTGGAAGCCTTTGTTCATCAGTCCTCCTTCTCTGCATCTGGATTCCAGTTCAGTTCAAGGTTTAGCTGTGGGTGTCTGCTTCTACTTCCACCAGCTGCTGGATGAAGGCTATAAAATGGCATATGGATTAGTCATCAATCTCATTATCAGGAGAGGGCATTTAAGGTAGCCTCTCCTTTGTTGCTTAGATTGTTTGTTGGTGTCATCTTTGTAGCTCTCCAGACATTTCCCTAGTGCCTGATTTCTTTTTAAACTTATAATGTCTCCCTCTATTATATTAACTCTTATCTTGCTTTCTTCTGTTCTTCCCCCAACTCAACCTCCCTGCCCCATTCTGGAATGCCATCAAGCACAGTGGGGCCAATGCATATATGAACTCACCAAAACTGCAGAGGATTAACACAGGTCTGGGCTGGATGGGATCTTATTACTGAGAGAGGAAGTAAACTCAAGACTGTATCCCTAACCCAGAAGCTATACTAAAACAATAACCACTTCCAAATCAAAATTAAATTTCTCCAAAACTGTGAGTCAAAAACCTTTCATATTATAGGTTTGTACCATGTATTGGTCTTAGAAAGTTAATTAATATAAGTCCCTTGAAATAGAATTATTTTTTACGTTCCTGGAAAATGTGACTAAGCTATATTTATATTAATTTCATTACATTATATTAACCTTCTAATTTAATATATGTATGTGTATAAAGGCATCACTATCTTTATATTTGTAGCTAATTTATTTTGGAGCTACAAGGTTATTGTGACATATACCTGTCTCTTCATTGTGTCAGTTACAATACTTGGGTAAGAGTTACAAGATCATACTGTAGGAGGACACTCTTCATAAAATCCAAATGATTTTATTAGGGGACAGTGGCTCAGAAATCTCTGGTTTTTATCCCTTTTGAGATATGTTACTGAATATCAAACTGAATTTTGTGTATTGTATGCAGCGGGACACATTTTCTATTTTATAATTCCATATGGATATTCAATTATCATAGCTCTATTTATTGTAAAGAACCTCCTTTTATTCTCTGAATTATTAATTTGATTTAAAGCAAGTATCTAAATATATATAAGTTTTGAGTTCTTTTTATATTTTTCTTAGTAAGAAGACGGTAGTTTCTTAATAACTGGGGCTTCATGGATGATTACTAATATATATTGCCTCTCTCTTTTCTACAAAGGTGTCATGGCTTATTTTGGCTCTTTGTATTTCCATATAAATTTTTCAATATTTAGTTTCATTGATTTAAAAATTTATCATAAATTCATATATGTTACTTTTTATTAATATGCCTTCACATATATCTATATTTAAACAATTATGCTTCCTTTTTATTGCTTTTTCCACTTGGGAAGAAAAATAAATTGCTCTTCTAAGTGTAATCTGTGTTTCTATTCTCTATTTAATTCATTTACTACCTACATGTGTAAGCGTTTATTCACACACTGCAACTCCTCTAGAATCTTTGTTTTGTAGGTGATTTTTGACTATCTCTAATAAGGCAAATTTTCAGAAATGTTTGAGTAGGCTCAAACTAAATTTATTTTCACCCAATTTGGTATTTCAACAATGTTGGTTTTCCCAACATGTTCATGTATCTGTACATTAGATTAGACTAAAATGCATTCAGCAAGAGTTCTCAGTTGTTACTGTAGCTTTACAAAGCAGAGTTCATGTGCTTTAAGATAGGTTATGTTAGAAATGGAAAATTATAAGTTTAATTTCTTAATCATTAGTTGCTAGTATAGAAAAAATATAGTATATTGCCTTTGCACACTCAGACCTTACTAAAGTCACTAATTGATGAAAGCTGAGGTTTCATTATTAGCTTAGAATTTGCTATAGGTATCATTAAGTCATTTGTGAACGTGTTCTTTATAGATGGTAACTCTTTCTTCCTGTTGCTATTAATGTTTCAGTGTATGGAGACTCCAAAACATTGTTACTTTTAATGAGTGAAAGACAGGATTTCTACTCTATTTCTGGTCATAGATAAAAAGGCATTTGACATCTAATACACAGCATAATGTCTAGGTTAAGCTTTCAGAAATTTCTATGGAAGATTTGAATATTACATTGATAAGTTTTTATTAAAAATTAGTGTTTTATCTCTGTACATATGTGTCTATTGATGTAATTATTGGACTTTTTCTCAATTTGGCTAAATAATGGCATTACATAAGAACATACATATAATTTGATTCTGAAATTATTTTATAAAATATCAGTATGAATCTACAAATAGTTGATACAGTTTACACACAAATACCTTAGTCTAGGGTTTTGTTTTCTAGGTTTTTGGATGATATTTCATTGATAATAAGGGCGGAAGGTGCCCTATTGTTACTCTTAGCTTGGGGTGGATGTTAGGGACCCTAAATTGAATCTCTTTGTACTAAGAGAACCTCATTTCTACTCCTCACTTGTATTCTCTGAAGCCAAATTTGAGATTGTTTTGTTATTTCTAGACTGTGATGAGAACCTGTCTGCACAGCTATCCTGAAACCACATACTGAGCAGCAAATTGAACACCCCTCTATTTCTATTGGTGATAGAAGTCCAGTCTCCCTATTATGGTCTCTATTGGTCTGCTTTGGGGTTTCATGACACTGGAGAAGATAAAAGTCTGCGACCATTGTCACTTGACATGACACCATCACATCATGAAGGTTAGCTCTTTACTTGGCTTTGTTGGTGCAGATAGAAGTCTAATATTTTTCTGTAGTGTTTTGTCTAAGTGACAAGCTTAATGTGCTATGTTACCTTATCTTACAATAAGTTGTTCCTTTCTTGGTTTATTAGTTAGATAAGCTAGCTTTAGCTATAACTTTTTAATGTTTTATATTGATATTTACAAACATTAAGTTTGATCTAAGGCATAGAGAAGTGTAGTTCTATGGTACACATTCTCTTCATCAAAAACTTGTTTGGAGAAACACTGTATTTTCGATGGAAATACAATTCTTTTTAAACATCATGTTTTTCCACTCAAGTAAAAGATATATTAGGCATTCAATATTTTACTTTTATTTTATTGCTGGGTATTGAAAACTCCTGGGCCTAGTGCACACAAAGCAATTTCTTTTTCCAGTGAGCTAAGTTCCCAGCCCAACATTTTATTTGAAGCTATAAACCTATGTGTCTTAATAGTATACCAGATAGTACATTTGACAGTTAATGCCGAATAACACATCTTTGCCTCACCTAGCATAGATAATCTACTAAAATAATGTCATCTTTGTATTTTTCAAGACTTCTTGTTAATATGAGCAGCTTTATAAATTCTCAGAGCTACAAATTCTTACAGTATTATGCTGAGCTATTAAGTTAATTTAAATTGTGCTAAAACTAAGAAAGGAAATATGAGAAGAATATATCCTCCCAGTGAGACTCTTCTACAAGCACCCTTAAATGACTGATCCAAGAATCCTTTGTTAGTCAAAGAGCACACTATTCAAAGAACAGGAAAGCAGAGAGGATAGTAGTCGCTGTTTTTTACTTCAAATGAAGGTGGCACGGCCTATAAACTGTCCAGGAGGCCCTGTGTTAGGAAATGGCTTGCATATGTCACAACATAGATAAGATTTTGCCAGCTTGGTAATTTCAGTCCAGAATTCTCAGACAGCTACTGCACTTAAGATGGGTCGAAATCATGTGAACATGCCAATGTTTGTATTCTTTCAGACCTAGTAAACTCAATGGACTGTCCCTCCAATCGCTAAGTTTTCTCATCTGGAACATATATCTGGGAGAGGAACAAACAAGAGGAGAATCTGGTAAATCAGCTTTTCTACTTCTTGTATATTAAATGACCACTCATTCCTTGTGACTTTTTTTTGTCATACTTCCATTTCCAATCTATTCATTTCACGAAATGAAAGGCAAAAGCAAAATATTGTTACAACTACAGAAAAGTGATATAGATCAAACTCACTCAAAAGAAAGTTGCCTATAAAAATGATCATCTTCCTCCAAGTCTTACATAGTTCTCTGATAAATTATATAAGAACTACACTTTTATTTTGATCATTTTCATTTATATTATTTTAGTATTCTAGATTACATTAGGATATTTTCATGCCAATATATAAGCTAATTTGTGCATATTCCTCCTTTTACCTTGTCAGCTTCCCTTTTTCTATCTGCCCCATTAATCACCTTTGTTCCTCTAGACTGATTTACTTCAACTTTCATGCCATGTGTACACAGTTTACTTATGTATCTACATAAAATCTACAACCTCCAAATGAGAAAAAAATGTGACATTTTCCAGAGACTGATTTAATTTTCCTCGTAAGATTATCTTCAGTTTTATCTATTGTCCTACAAACAGCATATCTTCATTTGTTTTTAAATGGAAGTTCTTGTCCTGCATGGCATTGTGTATATGAACCAGATTTCCTTCATCCACTATTCATTGATAGACACCTCTGCTGGTGTCATAAGTTGGATATTTTGAAAAGTGCCGAAGTCAACATTTATATACAGGTATCTCACGGACATGTTGATTTGGAATCTTTGGGATGATAAGGTTGGTTCATTGCTACTTTCTTGAGGAACAGTCATAGTGGATAGATGAATTCACATTCCTAGTATTAGTGGATAAACATTCCCCTTTGTCTGTGTCCTCATCAATATCAGTTATATTCTTGATGACTGCCGTTGTAACCAATGGATCTCCATGGGAGAGGGAAAAGGACAGATTTTGTGAGTCGACTGGGAGCAGGTGAGGATGTGAGTGAGAAGACCAGGTGAAAAGGGCAGGGCTGATAGTATTCATGGAGAGAAAGCAGGAGGTAAAGGCAGCTGGAATGGAGTGGAATTTGAAGGATGATACAGAAACCTAGTACAATGAAAACTTCCTAAACTATATGAAAACGATGCAAATGAGGTCTCCTAACAAGGGACACAGAGTCTAAACTGGCCATCTCTTGTCTCATAAAAGACTTGCAGTACTGAGACTGTTACATTCCATTGAATTATTGGCCAAAAGGGTCACATGAAGATACGCAAACAACTCAGGCTGTTGCTAAGGCAATTAGTTGCTTTTTATATACTGACAGTGATGAGTAAGGCCTGATTGTCCAAAAAAGAAAAAATACCACCACCACCACCAACAAACACCTACACTCATTGAGCATGAATAGATCAAGCTGGTGCCTTCATGGAGCCTTCACCTCTACACTATATTGTCTTTGGTGTGAGAAGATATTTTGCAAGAAACCAAAAGAGAATTGTAAACACCAACCCTGACACAAAACCTTTGACCTACCTTTAATCTGTCCTATCTACAAGACATGCTAGGGCAATGGTGGCACAGAACTTGTGGGAGTAGCCAATCAATGTCTGATTTGACTTGATGCCCACTCCAAAAGATTGAACTCTTTCCTAACACTGCTTGGGTGACCAGGACCCAGAGACTGAACAGCCTAAAGACCTACAGTAAAGCCAAACATGAATGGTCTAAAAAAAACTATCAATAAAGTGACTCTTAATGATATTCAGTTATACTCATAAATCTGTGCCTTATTCAGCCATCATCAACAAGTCTTCTTCTTTCCCAGTTTGGGACAGATGCAGAGATATACATCCAAATAATAAAAATGGAGAGAATCCTTGGAACACACAACTCTAAATGGGATGTTTCCATTAAATCCTTCCCCCTCAGAGCTCAGGGAACTCCATGGAGGAGGAGAAGGCAGAAAGACACCAGGTGAACAAGGCACTTTGAATCAACTACAAAACATTCATATTAACTAACATAGACAGAAGCAGCAAGTACAGGGCCACGTCCTCTGTGTATATATTATAGCTTACAAATTAGTATTTTTATGAGACTTGAGTGTATAAATGAGTGGGCTTCTGATTCTTTTCTCTGCTCTTGGGGCTCTTTTATCTCTGGTGAGTTGCCTTGTCCAGTCTCCATGAGATGGTTTTTGTTTATATCTTATTATATTTTATTTTGTTATGTTTGGTATCTCTTAGAATTCTGTTTATTTCTAATGAGAGACAGAAAGGGAATATATCTGGAGGGGAGGGTGGGTGGGGAGGAACTTGGAGTAGTGGAGGGGGGGGGGAACTATAAGAAAGACATGTTTATGTGAGAAAAGTCTATTTTCAATAAAAGGAAAAATGGAAAATTTTGACTATTTTAATAAAAACTCATATAAAAGCATGAATAGGACAACTATAAGCAAGACATGTTTATGTGAGAAAAGTCTATTTTCAATAAAAGGAAAAATGGAAAATTTTGACTATTTTAATAAAAACTCATATAAAAGCATGAATAGGACATGATTTCATCATCATCATGCCATTGCATAATAGCATGCTCATCTCTGTCATATGTAGATCTGTTTATGTGTAAAATTGTCACTTTCTGCCATCTTTTCCTCAGACAGTAGGAAAAAATTTTTGCTGATAACCCTATTTTATTTTGACATATAGATATTATTTTTAAATCGCTGTGAGGTTAATTATCATCAAAAACAATCATTAAAAAATTCAAACGGTTCACTTTTGCCAGCTCTTGCCCACCATGTACTATTTATGTCTCCTGTAGAGGCAGTACAGTAGTTTAGAGACTTAGAGACTCTTTTCTTAGAAACTCTTCTTTGTGAAATGTTCTGTTTTTTTTTTTTTTTTGAAATTTTCAATCTGTTGGTAGAATATTAAATTTTCAAAGAACAATTTCGTTAGTATTTAACACCCATTTTCTGTTTTGGGGTTGCTGTGCTCATGTGATACCGAATACTCCTAAATACTGAGGGTTTAATGATCACTTCCTGCAGATTGTGATCAGCTTCAGAATCCCTTTGGAGAAAAGCTGTTCCTGTCTGTCAATGGACTCTTCTCGTGGGAAACACTAGAGGTGACTATACTTAGGCTAAATATCCTGATTAGCGAAACTCATTTTCATAAGGCTTCAGTATGGATTTTGAACCATCAGTTTGCTAAGGAAAACACATGAGGCCTCTCTTGCTTTATTGTTGGCTTAGATGTTATGCAATTATGTTTCCCAGAACATTGCCCACAGAAAAAGCAATCTTTTAGTTCCAGACATTTAAATTTTTATCATGGACACAAATTATGTTGTTAAAAAGATATAGTCCTGACCAGTACAGATTAGGTATTTTATACAATTATTAATAAATCTCTGATTTGACATCGTCTTAAGATATATTGAAACCATATTCTGTATAGAATCCAAGTGTTATCAGTTTCCACTGAGCCATCATTGCAAAGAGTAAAAAATGACTCATGTAACCTCACAAGCATAGCAACAGACTTCCCAGCCTCCTGCAATGTGTTGGTATCTTCCTTGTACAAATAAAGGTTGTATGGAGCTCAGAGGATGGAGCTGGCCACTATAACTAACCATAGAGGCCTGGAGGTCTGTACAGACAGACAGGAAGTAAGGTGGCTGGGTGGAAACAGAAAATGTGACAGCTGGACAGAGACAGGAAGTAAGATGGTGGGGCAGAGAGAAGAAATAGCAGGAAGAAACAGGAACTCACTCTCTCTTCTGCTGAGAAGCAAATGAGGTAAAGGTGGCTTTCGCTTGCTCCTTCTTCTCCCTGATCTCTGAGCATTTTCCTCTACTTCTGACTCCAGACTTTTATTATTTAGACCTATTATGAACTCCATTTACACTGCAAGTATCATGTCTTCAGTGTACTCCTTTCTACTGAGATCTTTGGTGAAGTATTCTACATATGTCTGACTTCCTAACTGTAGTTATGCTGTCACACAAGGGATTATCAGCTGACCGACTCAGCCATCAGCATATTTTACTCTATTTGCCTCACCAAACATAATTTCTTTGAAGGATCAGGTTTTCCATCTGATCCCTGCTCCTCTTACTCATGTGGCTATTCTGGGCCCTTATAATGCTGGAGCTCATAACACATCTACCATAGCAAAAGAAAAAAATGAATCCTCTTTTTATTCCTCACATTTAGAGGGATTTTAAAATAACATTTTAAAAATTGTTATGGGCTATTTAAATGAATATTTCAGCTGTGTAATTATGCTCATCTATTCTTTTGATTGAAACACATGTTGTTGTAAAGAGAAACATGACTGTAAATGCATTTTGTGAATTAGTCACCTTGACAATGTTAGTGTTGCCTAGCCATTTTCTGAGAGATGTCTGGAGTGATTCTTTAGACAGTGGGAACATGGCTCTTGCTTTCACATTGAAACTATATTTATAGCTGTGAATAGTGATACACAGTGTAGGAAGAGGAGAGATGAATGGCTGTTTCCTCCTGTACGTAAGGCACTTTAGAATATGGATGTGCTTACACTTGCCTCAGAGTTTAGTGAAGTCATTATGAGCTTCGATCATTTTGCTGTTCTAATGTATCTCCTAATCAAGTCAAGAATGAGATAGCCTTTCATTTTGTTGGCCTTACAGGCTGATGTCCCCACAGCAAAACAAATTTCTTCTTAACTAGGAGAACAAAAGCAGCCAGCCAGAGCACCACATACAAATGAATGTCATCAAGGTCACAGTCCCACAAGCTTCAGAATTGGCAATTCATTTTAGCCTCAGTTAAAAGAGCAATATTCAGAAGAGGACATACACTGTGTAAGTGATGAAGAATGCAGAAGGCAGACTCTGCAGCTCTGCCTCTCCAGTCTCTCCACATCAGCTACCCTTGCCTTCCCGACCTCCTGTTTGTTATAATCTCAAGATTATTTGTGGAACCGACTGATTTACTTTCTCCTCTTTGTTTAGCATTCAGACTAAACCTTTGAATTATGGTGAGGAGCTTTTCTCCTGAACTCCCTCTTAGGGGTCACTGGCTGACGTTACTCTGTGTGTGTGTGTGTGTGTGTGTGTGTGTGTGTGTGTGTGTGTGTGTGTGTGTGTTGCCTTGTGACCAAATCTGTGAAGACAGACACCATGGCAGCATGTAGTAGGTTCCTGATGAATGTTTACTGATGATTCTGGATTCAGTACCAGCGAAAAGTTACATTTTTTTATTACAGAATTTCACTGTTCCACAGCTGTTTCTCATCCATTTCTGTCACACTAAATCACCCAGCCACATTCCTCAAGGCTTTGGCTGAGCCGCATCCTGATTATAAATTAGACATCTCTGGAAAATTGTGTTAAACTTTTTCATGATAATAGTCATCTGAGGATGGAGAGGAGGAAGGCTTGTGCTGCTGATGTTATGTGACAGTGAATACAGCTTTGTCAATATAAATCCAACTTACTTAACTGGAAATGTCATACTCAGTTGGCAGAAAGGCTGAGCCAGCATTGTACATTGCTAACGTCTTTCCTAGACCTATCTAAACATATATGCGTGCGCGCACACACACACACACACACACACACACACACACACACACTAAATCCAATTGAAAGAATTATACAAACATGAATTATACAAAATGAATTAAATATCTTCTATTTCTAACTGAATATAGGGGATCCTGTTTCCATTTCCCAAAAACAAATGGCAACCAGTTAAAGAGACCAAAACAAGCATAAAAAGAGCTCTTTAGAGTATCTACAGTCACAAGAAGATCTTAACAACTACTTACATTTTTGCTGTCATATTAAAACTATGCCACTCAGAGGACAGGGATAGTCAACCCCCTCTCAAGCTCCTACTGTGCACATGCTTTGGACTTCTTCCGTCTTACTCCATGTATGAACTCATATCAATTACTAATATTAAGCAGTGTCAGGATGGATGGGTAACATCTTCATTGCAAACTCCCTAGTGGCAAATGCATGCATTCTTCTCGTTGGCTCCGATAACTGGGAAACTCACCCAGAATGAGACTGTTCATTCAGTTGTTCCCAAACAAACAGTGTTGACTGTTCTCCTTAAAGAAAACTCTTTCTCAGCTGTGACATCTTCCTATTGATATGTCAAACCTTATAAATCATCAGTTCCTTACCTGAGGTTCATGGAGGAACTCGAGGAAATATATGCTCCTGAATTGGGAATTACTGACATTTTTCATTTCCATAAACCTCTATTGAGATTTAGTATTTCATTCAAGTGTTAATGTAAGTATACTCCAAAACAGTCTTAATAGCCTTTATGATTCTGCAACTGTAGAAGAAATGATTTTCAATCACAATATAGTTATATTTGCTCGTTAGTTATCCTTTACATTCATAGTGGCTTTAAATAACTTGAAGTTTGTTCCAGTTACTAGACAATACAATATTTGCCCTCTTAAAAATGTTAATAGAAATTAGATACCATCCCATAGGCAGGTCTGCTTACACATGTGTTCAGTAACTCACAAAATAACTCCAGGTGTTTACAGCAGTGATTCAAGTATCTATGTTTTTTCCATTATTTCCAGACTACAAATATTTATTAGTTTATATATAGTGAGGGAGATATGATGGCTATTCTTGATTGCCAATTGACTATTCCTGGAATGAACTACAATCTAGAAATGGAGGACAATACAGAAATATGGTTTGAAGTGTAAATCTACTTCTAGTATAGACCTTTGAGGTAGGAAGACACACACCTTTGACCCAGATCTTGAGGCAAGAAGATACATTTTTAATACTGGAGATACCTTCTACTGGAAATCTATATAAGGGCATAGAAAAGGAAGCTTTTACTCTGCCTACTTACCCTTGTTTTAATAGCACACCCATTCTTTTTTTTTGGCATTGAAGCCTAATTCTTCAGGATTCCAGCATTTAAAGAAGACCAGCTGAGATATCCAGCCTACTGGGACTGAGCAACTACTAGATTATTGAACTTTCTATTCACTGTACTGCAGCTTGTATGTCATTCAAATAAATTCTACACCATATAGGAAATATATATATATATATATATATATATATATATATATATATGATTTATTTATGGAGATAGATAGATAGATAGATAGATAGATAGATAGATAGATAGACAGATAGATAGATAGAATTACAGAAATACATAGATGGAGAGATGGAGAGACAGAAGGAAGTCCAAACCAGGAATTTTGTGATTCTAGAGAAATCTGACAAATACAGAAAGCAAAGACCATCCTATAGTCAATATTATTACTTTGGCTAACCTAAAACAGAGTGTTCAAAGATATCTTTTGTAAAATAAAATGTAATTTAATTTTCAACTTGTTTGACAATGCACTATAAGGATAGATGTATTGTATCATAAAGTTTTGAGCATTTTGTTAACTTTTTTGGTATGATACAAAACTCTCAATGGATATTTGGTTCCAGCACTAGAATATAATAAATATGAAAAAACAAGTTTAGATTTCTCAAGTCACAAACAGCCGGGATCATTGCTAAATAACTTTTTTCTTTGTATCCCCTGATCAACTGGTTTCTTTAGCTAAGTGTTAGTAAGTGGTCAAAGAATTCTGTGAAGATTGCATTAAGTGATGACTTTATAGACTCCACCTTGAAAAGAGAGAAATGCCCTCTGAAGAGTTCAAAAACAAGGGAGAATGTGAAATGATCAAAATAGATAACTGTACTTAAGCTCAGTTTGGCTTGTAGACAAGAGACATGTTCTTTGCCAAAATGAGTCAAATAAATTCAACTTTGAGGTAGAAATGGAGTTTTTAATTATCATTTATATTGATTACAAGTATACGAGTACTTATTCTTGGATATTCATTTTCAAGGTATCTCTACCACAATTATATTTGGAATTTTCCCTTTAAAAGATATTTATTCAAGCTGAGTCTTTCAGCTAAACTTAACACTCTTAGAAATAGTCCCATGCTCTATAAAAGTGGATTGGTGGTCAATTGACTGAAACAGAAACTTTGATTATAATGCCATTGATTATTTACTATCAGACTTAATAGCAAAGAATACACTATAAGTAGATTTTTGTCACACCATCTGGACATGATAGTCCTGTGTAGGTGTTACCTTGAAAACGAACTTTGCCATAAGTACACGGAAAGACAATTTATCTGAGACAATAAAATTCTAGAAGAACATTGGAATTACACATTATTTCTGTGACAAAATTGCTTTCATGAGCTCCAAAATCTATCATACTCCATTTCCTATCACACTAAATTGCCATAAGTTTTCATGGTAGGTAAGCCCTTACCTATATACTTCTTAAAAAATTCCCATGACAGGGTCCAGGTCATCAAGAATTTTATTACAGCTTTCATTATATGCCATAGACAATAAATTGAACTCACTGCAAATTTTAAATTCAGGCCTTGGTTTCTGCCTTACCAATTGGCCATGCTCCCAAATTTCCATAGTTTCTTAAGAGAATGCTGTCAAGTGGGGACCAAGTGTTCAAACATAGAACCCATGGGACATCCCTTTCTTCTGAATGATAAATAACACTGTAGTTTAAGTGGTAACAGTTTGGTTCATTTATATTCATTTCTCAATGAAAAGAATGAATACTTGTAAATCATAAGTGAATGTGTCACCAACCTGGAGTTTAAATTTCAAGCTAAAATTTTCATTGGTGAGCATTGTTCCTGAAATCCTAGAAATTAATAAGCTATGAATACAGCATGCATTTTTTATTTAGAAATTATTTAATTTATTTTTTTATTATTTTTAAATCAGTAACAAGCTTGCTTCACATGTCAATCCCAGCTCCCTCTCCCTCCCCTACTCCCCTGTCCCTCCCACCAACCCATCCAAGTCCATAGTGCACTCCCCCTTCTGGTCTCCAGGGAGGGTGAGGCTCTCCACGGGGGATCTCCTAAGTCTGCCATATCATCCTTCATCTATGTGTCCAGACTGAGAGAGCATCCCTCCATGTGAAATGGGCTCCCAAAGTCCATTTGTGTCCTAGAGATAAATACTGGTCTTCCACCTGAGGCCCCATAGATTGCAGAGGTCCTCTCATGACACCCATGCTCAGAGGGTCTGGATAAGTCCCATGCTGGCCTCTCAGACATCAGCCTGGGGTCCCTGAGCTCCCCCTTGTTCAGTTCAGCTGTTTCTGTGGGTTTCACCAGACATGTTTTGACCCCATTGCTCATCACTGCTCCCTCTCTGCAACTGGGTTCCTGGAATTCAGTTCAGTGTTCAGCTATGGGTGTCTCCCTCTGCTTCTATCAACCACTGGATGAATGCTCTAGGATGGCATATAAAGTAGTCATCAATATCATTATCAAGGAAAGGCATTTAAGGTAGCCTCTATTGCTTAGATTTCCAGTTGGTGTCATCCTTGTAGATCTCTGGAAATCTCCCTAGTGCCAGATTTCTCTTTAAACCTACAATGGCTCACTCTATTACACAGCATGTATTTTTTAAGACAAAGTTCAAAGAATTACTTAAAAGGGTGTATGAAAGATCTAAGAGATATTTTTAGAATCTTATATACTTTACATTTTGGTCTGAGAAAATTGAATATCTTGTAAGCAAAATTAACAAATAAAATAAAAGGAACAATTACAATTTTAGATAGTTGAGATTTGGATTTCTGTTAGACAGGTAAACAAAATTATTGAGGATAATTGTGGTCATAATAGTTGAAAGAGGGATTGGGACTGAAACTATGTCCTGAAAGTCAGCATGGCACTTAGAATTTAAAGCCAAATCACTAAGTAGAATGTATTAGCATGAATGGTCAGATTGAAGAGCATGAACTC